AAGCGCCCCTCGCCTGCAGCTGGAAGTCAGAGGGGAAAGTGACGTCGGGGGAGGAGGAAGTTTTATTGGAAAAACGGGTGAAAATCTTGAAAATCTTTTTTTTTTTGGCTGCCAGTGGTCAAGATGGCGAGGAGGAGGGATTATTCGTATATCAGCCCGTGTGTGAAATGGACGCTTTTCTTCTTCAACTTCATATTTTGGGTGAGTTTTCTGTCCCATCAACGCCTTGGTGCTGGGGGTGGCTTAATATACGTGACTCATTATCTCTTCTTGATTCTTCTTAATGAAAAAATTATTACAGGGCGTGATAAGTAGATAACCAAATCCCTTTTTGACGCCATTAGTTTAAGAGAAAAAAAGAGATAAGGAGAATTTTGTAGAATTGCAAGACAAACACAGGCCAAGGTAGACAGGAAACGACGTGTTCTGAGAATGTTAAAAAATAAAAAAAATAAAATGTTAAAAAAAAGGCTGTTTTAGCTTCATCATGTTAAGTAAATAAATGCTCTTTGTGATTTTTTTTTTATATATGTGTGTGCATTTCACCTTGGAAGAGATATTGTTATCATCTTAAATATTTACCATTTTTTTATTAACACATTTATATTTTATCAACATATAAACAGATTATTTTATATACATAGTTCATATAATTTTATCAACATGTATATATTTTTTCTTTATCTTATATACAATTCACATTATACATAGCTCATATAATTTTATCAACATATATATATATATTTTTATCTTATATACAATTCACAATATACATAGTTCATATAATATTATCAACATATATATATATATTTTTTTTTATCTTATATACAATTCACATTATAGTAGTACAATAGTTGGTTTAATGATACACACAAATTTCCCCCATATTTCTACTATAGAGAGTGTTACAAATCTTGCTCATTTATGTGGAACATGAGATTGGCATGACTAAGTTCCCATGAAATTACCCTGAGTTCAGATGCCTGACTGTCATGCTTTCTGGGCTGTGATTTTGCTTGACATCTGTTTTCACTTTCCCTCTTCGTTATGTGGGTGGAATTTTAAGTTAATGTGGAAATATCAGACTAACTCATTGTAAAGATAGATGGTAATTTTTTGATGAAACACACGCAACACACACACACACACACACACATACGCACACACACACGAGCGCGTGCACACACATACGCACACACTCGCACACACACACACATACACACACACACATACACACACACACATACACACACACTCGCACACACACACACATACGCACACACTCGCACACACACACACACATACACATACGCACACACTCGCACACACTCACACACACACACACATACACATACGCACACACTCGCACACACACTCAAACACACAGAACACCACACACACACACACACACAACACCACACACACACACACACACACACACACACACACACACACACACACACACACCACACACACACATACGCACACACACACGAGCGCGTGCACACACATACGCACACACTCGCACACACACACACATACGCACACACTCGCACACACACACACATACGCACACACTCGCACACACACACACATACGCACACACTCGCACACACACACACATACACATACGCACACACTCACACACACACACACATACACATACGCACACACTCGCACACACACTCAAACACAGAACACCACACACACACACACACACACACACACACACACACACACACACACACACACACACACACACATACACACATACACACATACACACATACACACACACACATACACACACACACACATACACACACACACACACACACACACATACACACACACATACACACACACACACACACACACACACACACACACACACACACACACACACACACACACACACACCACACACACACACACACACCACACACACCACACACACATGCACACACACCACACACACACGCACACACCCCACACACACGCACACACCCCACACACACGCACACACCACACACACACACCACACACCACACACACACACCACACACCACACACACACACCACACACACACACCACACACACACACCACACACACACGCACACACCACATGCACACACCACACGCACACACCACACGCACACACCACACGCACACACCACACACACACCGCACACACCACACACACACACGCACACACCACACGCACACACCACACGCACACACGCACACACCACACGCACACACCACACACACGCACACACCACACACACACACACCACACGCACACACCACACATGCACACACCACACGCACACACACGCACACACCACACGCACGCACCACACGCGCACACACGCACACGCACACACCACACACACACTCGCACACACACCACACACACGCACACACCACACACACGCACACACCACACTCACATGCACACACCACACACACACGCACATACCACACACGCACACACC